CATACAAATTTATTTTATTTGTGGCTTTGTTGTGTTGAATTATTCAGGCAGCGTTGTTAGTCATATTATTCCAAAATAAATAAATTCGTTTGTTTTCGTTTCTTATTACCATTTGGATTTTATTCAAATCAAGTTTTTTTTTTATTTCTATGACAAATCAAGCCAATTTTAATACACATGCATGCATCAGTTCTCTTGGCTCGGTGGATAAATAAATCGAAAAATACTTATTCTCAAAACTATACAATTTACAATAATTCTTCCAATTACCCATTAATTTTTTTTAATATCAAAACATAAGCTTAAAATTATAAAAAAAGACATAAGAAAAAAATCGAAGACAACTTAAACTTTGTTCAAGTTATTAAAATAATAAAAAAAATACCGGTCAAGCTGGCTATGACTAATTATCCGTCTGTATTCAGTACTTTTTTCATGTTTTTATTTTTTTGTGGCTAATGCAAATAAACCAGTTTTATTTGGCAATAGACCAGACCAATTGAACAATTTTTTATTATTATTTATTTGATTTAGAAAGGTATTAATTGGCACAACAAAAGACAATTTCAAGAAGTCAAGTTATAATTGTTGAATTTGAAATTCGATAACGTCATCACTACAAAGTACGTACGTACCTACGAAGGTGTGATTTTTTGGAAACTATTTGAAATCATTATAATCCAGATCATTGTGTGGGTGGCAGTTGTAAAAAATTATGTTGTTGATTTCTTCAAATACAAACATGATTTGGGCTTTAAATATATTTAAATTCTAACCCAAACTAGTAATCACAAGGTAATATGCGAGCTAATATATATTTGTGGTCTAATAATGTCGAAGTAATAACCCCTTCGATTAAGGCACCTTTAAATTACAAGTTTTGACCCGGCAAAAAAGTAGATGGTTTCTGCCGAAGTATGAGAGCTCGCCGTGTCCGGTGCACACTGAATGACTTACGGCAAAAAAAAATTGCGATGTACGGCCCTAAGTTACTCAATCGGAAGAGGCGCCATATGGGCAGATTGTCCAATAAACAGGCGTTCATTTACTTCGAAAGGTTTCTTCAACGAACAGCATGCGCTGGATTTGCCTCGTTTTCAAAGACCCACACGTTCTATTGATGTTTTGTTTTGGGTTCATAGATCACTTGTGACGACTTTATTTTCCCCGGACAATAACTCCTTATGAACTCGTCATATATACGAAGTTCATTTAAATAATATACTAAAATACATTACATAATTCATTATTAAACCAGTGAGCGGAGCAGTATAATGGGACGGGGGACCATATGATACCTTACACAACTACCACGAAAATCTAACTTTCTGCGGTTCTATATTTTGAAACTGGGCAATATTTCGTGATAATTGCACGCTCATGACCGATAATAGGTCGACAGATTCACTTTCTAACTGACGCATATTTTCCAAATCTTTTTTTCCTGAGGTAAATAAAATATAAATTTGGTCACCTCAAAATATTGACCGATAATCATATAAATAACCGTCCTAAGTATTTGGTCCGATGCCCTTCACCGTGTAAAATATGTGATGTTCTGCACATAATAATTGCCTCATATTATATCAACACCACCGAGCAACCGACAGCGCGACATTTCCGGGAAATAGTAATACTAAACAATACCTTAACACATAGACAGCTTTAAATATTTACGCGTACACACAACAATAAAATTGGAATCCAGTCTTCATCAAAACAGCCATACTTATTCCTTGGCTTGATTCCCTTCCTGGTGCAAATATAAAGTTTTTGGTACATTCCATCCCCTAAATATTAATGGAACTTTAACAAAAACAATGGGAGCCCTCCTTGGCAGAACCCGTCCTACATTTAAAATTTGGTGAAGATTGGTCCATAACTGTGGACTGTATCGTGTTTACAAATTATAATGGACAGACGGACGGACACACATGGCTAGATTGACTCAGCTAGTCGAGATGTGACGATCGGTATACTAAAAGGTCTAAGACCAATATTTCGCGGCGTTACAATCTCTTGGGGCTGCACAAAGCTATACCCCGACAACATAGTTGTGTAGGGACGCTTAAAATAAATACGTAAAAAACGTATTTGTGCCATATTTGCAGTAAGAGATGTGATAACTACCATCCTTTCCAATAAAATTTGATCTTCTTTTAATATAGTTCTTAAACCCACATTTTCCAACCATTTTTGTTTGCAAAATTCCCTCTTATTTTTTTACTGCCGTCAAAACAATCACTATCTATTTAATTACCAGCAAAAAGCACGCAGATTTTTCACATGTCAAGTGTTTTTTTTTCAAGTTAAAGATTTGAATTCATATCTCAAGTTGCCATTTCTTATCGACCTTTTTTGTTTCACGAACAAGCACGCCGCCATGATAACGTAACAGATAAAAAAAAGCAGAGTACGTTACGCGTTAATCACTTCATAAAATATAAACGCTTTGAAGTGATTTATTAACCAACACTATGTAAGGTGAATTTAACTCCCCCACTTCACCTCGCCGTTCATTGTCATTGTGTGACTTAAAAACAAACACAAAAACTTTCCCACCACCGCCACAAATCAAACGTCACTGGCAGCAATATGTCATCGCTTTCGCGGACAAAGTCATTGAGAATTTCTTCAGGCAATGAATTAGCATTCGTAATATGAAGGCAGCGCCGGCAGCCTGCTGCAGCACACCCAAACTTGAATGTGTTTTATTAGGCCATAGTTGTTGTTTTTGCTTTATAATTATATTCAAAATTGGTGATGCGTTGTATTTGCCATAAAATGTTGTAATATTAATTGCTACAAAATAGCCAACAACAACTACGGCCACTACAACAACAAACTATTAACAATAACAACAGAAGCGGCATCGTTTGGAAACAACAAAAACATAATCAGTATTTTGGTATGCAATGTACGAATTGTTTTCTTCTCTTCGATTACGCAAACATCGTCGAAACGATCAGCCAACGAACGAACGAGCCAACCAAACAACAATTTTCGTTTATTTTTTTAAGGTTTTCGCCACAATTTTTCAAATCAAATTGGAATTGAATTGTTATTTAGTCTCTTTAGAAGAAGTGGTGAATGAATAAGTGAATAATTACTACTTGGGATCTAGCCATCCATCTAGCCGATTGTCGGTCGGTCTGAACACAACCTCGTTTTATGCAAAATAACAACAAAATACCAAAAGAAGAAACATCGAAATTTAGCTTCCAAATGTGTCTTCTGTTTGTGAAATGAACAAATCCCATCCATTGGTGTGGGGGCCGACACCGGCACCATCCGCCACAGCAGCTGAAGGCGCCTTCGCCGCCGCATAGTACTTAACCCGGGCCAACAATGAAATCGTAAACAAAACTTTTTCAAAATTAATAACAAAACGTCGTACTAATGATGAATAAAAAGTGTTTCGCAAATGATCGATTTTAGTGCTCCTGCGATTATTTTTGGTCTGATGATGATGATCACAAAGACTTGAATGTGTTATGAAATAATAAACAACAAATAAATATAACTAAAACAACAACAACTAGCAATAAAAAATGAAAATCGAACGTTATCCGGGCAAGGCGGTCGATGCCAGCCTCTCACTGGACCGCAGCAATGCCATGGTGGAGCTGTACGAGGCCAATTGGTATCAGGCCCAACAAAATTTCAACCAACATCGAGGCAGTACAAGATCGATGCCCATGCAGAAACCCTCCAATATCTCATCCTTTCCGTCCAATTCCAATCCAAAGGCTGCCACATTGGCGGTACGCAACAATGGTGGTAGTAGTAGTGGTGGTGGCAGTTTCCTTAAGGAAGGTGTCTCCAGCCTCAATAAATATCAAATGACATTGGATCAGATACGCAGTCTGGAAAGAGAAACTGCCGATAAAAATATTGTCAAAACCATTAAGAATTTAAATGCCTACAAAACTGTAGCACTAAGGCCCAAACCCGTTAAATTAACTCCCACCTGGGACGATTGGATAGATCCCGATGAAGAAGAAGAGGAATCTTCGTCGACAACAAATGCCGGTACAATGAAACGACCGGCCAGACCACGTCAACAGATATCTGTTAAACCTCCCTCCCTAAAGCGATCTCAAACTATGGTCTATAATTCGCGACCAACAAAAATTGACTCGAATAATTCATGGTTCAGAGAAACACCAACAACCAACACTGCCCCGACCACAGAAGGTCACACAACTGAAGACATTCCAACTGTGATATCAAAACAGCCACAACCCCTAAGGGAAAAGCTATTATCCACTCCTGACCTGAATGCTGCCGAAGAGCATGAGACCAATGGTAGCAGCAATAACTGTGATAATAACTTTAAGACATTTGCTACCATTAGGCATCCCTCCACAACACCATCCATACCGTTGACCAAGTCTCGTTCCTTGGCTGCGGTAAATCGTTCGAAATCGGTACGATTTCCATCCTCCAGCTCTTCAGCGATGTACAGGGATAACAATTATCACGAAACACCCCTTAATGGGTTTATTAGTAAACCATCACCACCACCCAAACCACCAGTACCTAAAAATCGTAAAATATCTTTGGATATTAAATCCGATACTAAGAATTATAATACTCCCGAATTTATGTCACAACAATTTGAAGATTTAAGTCTAAATACAAAACTCACACATCACACACGACAAGCCAGTGATTCGTCTACATCATCGGGTCACTCTTCGAATATGAGTACTAACTCCAATTCAAGTCGCAATTCTCAAAGGGCGAATAATGAGTTTGCCATCCCTAGGCCACGTTTAATTGTACCCATACACACATATGCCCGGAAACGACGTACCGGGAATTTACGGGATCAAGATATTGAAACGATAGATACGACCAAAGATAATGATGAAAATGAAGATGAGGGTAAGATTTTGTGATTTAGATACATGGCATGCATTCTAGTATTGTAGTGGATACATTGGTATTTGAAACATTTGCTAATTGTGTGCATTTATTTTTTTATTTCATTCCAGATGGCCGTGTGGAAGTTTCCCGTGAGGGCAAATACCTTTCAACCTTGTCGGGAGCCAAGGTTTTGGGTGAATTGGCCATTTTGTATAATTGTCAGCGTACCGCCACAATTACCGCCATAACAGAATGTAAACTTTGGGCCATTGAACGACAATGTTTCCAAACGATTATGATGCGTACCGGTCTAATACGTCAAGCCGAATATACTGACTTCCTGAAAAGGTGAGTGGAAAAAATGAGAGATGTTTTTCATTGCTTGAGTTCATGTTATATATAACACACTTTACTGCCTTATGTTAGGACTGCCTTACCCTAACAAAATAGGTATGTCAGGGTCTTGAGCCGACCAAGTTCATAAGATCGCCCCAAAAAATCAAATTTTTTATGCCCTACACAACTATTTTGTCAGGGAATTATAGCTTTGTCCTAGACCTATTTTTACGTATTCTGATTGTCATATCTCGACTACCTGAGTCGATCTAGACATGTATGTCGCAGTTATGTAAGATATTTTGCATGTAGGACCGGTTCTGCCCAATGAAGACCCCTATTTCTTTTGTAAAAGGTCGGTTAATATTTTGGGTAAAGTGGACAAAATATATCTTAATTTAGCCAAAGGACATATCGGTAAACTCTTGCTGGTCAAACTTTAACTTAGTTGCACTCAGGCTCAAAGTCAGCAATGGTGTCGAAGTCATCGTTTTCCCTGAACTTCATTTAAAAATAAATAGCCACAGTTGAAATAGTTTCGACACAATCAAAAACGTCAAAGGGTGAATCATGATTCTTTACACAATATTACCCATATTTTGTGACATCGACAACAAACCTTTTAAGGTGAAAAACAAATTTCCCCATCGTTGGCTACGGACAACCAACAAATCTGTTTTTGTAATTAACCATAAATAATAAAGTAAAGTATAGTTCACACATAATATGGAGTTTCTTTTCTCGTCTTGGTTATGAAGGAAGTTACATAATGCACATTTTCCGCATAACCGAATAAGAAACTCCATTTAACCAAATAGCACCGCATTTAGTTCTCAACACTTTCAATTTCCTCGGCTTCATTCAACAACCAACCACAACGCGCATCATTTGACGAAACTGCGGAATTTCTTTTAGTTTTTGTTTTGTGTGTTGTTATTGTTGCTCTGTCTACTTCCAAATAAACGCATAACGACCTCATGAAATTGTTTTGTAATATTCGCCTGGCACTAAACGCACCAAAAAGCTGTTTGGGGTGACCATAAAAAGAAATACAACAACAAAAACACATTTTTTAAATTTAAGTACCAATGTCTTAGAAAAAACACCAACAACAGCCAAATAAAACGCCAACAAAATGACCTTAACCAAGCAGCAACAGCAGCGGCGGTAAGCACACGAACCACAAGCAACCAACCTCCCCAACAGCACCACCCAATGCTCTCGCCATACAACAGCGCAGCGTATTTAGTTTTTAAGTAGTTACATTAAAATTTCAGCTTACCTTCATTACCACCACCACCGTCCAAACAAGTCAATGCTGGTTTTTTCTGCATTTTGCACAAACCACCTTAAAGCTGACTGATGGATGGGCGGACGGACAGAGCTGACAGTCCATCTAATGTCTTTTCGATTGAGGTGGCAAAGTATTTATGTACGTATTTATGCATGGAGTCCCCAAACTGGCCAAAACCGCTTTTGTTTTTATCCGCATTTCTTTCAAGTGACAACGACAACAACAACAACAAACTACCACGCGGAGCTGCATTCATGGAATGGTGCGTATATCCCCAATAACAACATCATCGTACAAAAGTGAAATCAATGTTTACTATATCAACAAACAAAAAAATAATAATAATAAATACGCATTGCCATTTAAGAAACTGTTTAGGCCGCAAGTCAACCATCGATAAGGCTTACAATGTTACGCTAACGTTTTTATTATTGTCAACAACTTGTTGCGCCGCCTAACTCTTCTGCACAATGAATAACAAATAGAAGAGCAATTTGATTTGCCGGTTTGTTTTGGTTTCAAGGAAAGGAAACAAAGTAAAGTCAGGCGACCACTACGGCGACGACGGCAACGGCATTAATATGACGAAAACATCATAAAGTTATGTGAACAATGCATGTGTGATATTAGGGTGTACCGAAGTAAATAGTTATAGAAATAAAATGATTTATTTCATATTTAGTGTAACCGATTATCGCGAGATACTATGTGTGCGAAGCCATAAAAAAAGTTTAGAAAGAACAATGAAATCGACTCATTCCAAATAAAAAAAATTTAAATTTGACAATGGCTGCAAAGATCACCACAGGTGACGATTCATGGTTCTTGACCAAAATTGGAGGTCAATTTTGACCAGAAGTCTTGGGAGAAATATTAAAAACGAACAAGAAAATGAGAGGTCTCACACATATGCGACCGTACATAGGCTGGTAAATTTTGACCGCTTGAGTGCCAGGAGCAGAGCTCCGAAATGCTCGCTCGAATTCGAGTAAAGAGTGAAACTTCCTCGAATTCGAGCGGGAGTACTCCTGCGAGTAGAAAAAGTAAAACGAGTTTACTCTATTTTTCTCTACCACTCAAATAAGAGCGCAAGTGCTTCGCTCGTATTCGAGTGGGAGTGAAATTCGCTCGAAATCGAGCAGATTCCACTCTTGTCGAGTACTCTTTTATTATTATTTATTTATTTTGTTTTTGATACCGTTGTTCCGTTTGATGTTGTTTGTGTTCTTTGTTTGTTTTGTGATGTTTGGTTTCTAACTTGTCACATGTGTAATGATGTATATGATCTATCTCCCCACATCACACAAAAGATCAACAACATGAACAGTTTGCTACTACGCACATACAAACAACCAAAAAATCAAATTTAATTGTCCACTCGATTTCACTCTTAGAGTGAACTCTTACTCTATTTCGAACGTTTTAACTCTCACTCTTTTTCTTCAATAAACAGTACTCGCGAGCACTCCCAAACAAAATAAAAGAGTGAAGAGTATACTCCTTAAAAACTCGTACTCTTCTCGTACTCCCACTCGGGAGTATTTTTCACTCGCGAGTAAAATCGAGCAAATCGGAGCTCTGGCCAGGAGCCTTCGGAGAAATTCCAAAAACGAGCTCTCACGCATATGCTCAAACAAGCGACTTTTAACCCTACAGCTCTGCTGATGAATGTTCAATTATTTGGAAGTGTCCCAGGTCAGAGTCAAAAATAGCTTGGACCATTTGTTCGAGCTGCAGAACACGTGTCACAATTCTAAAATATATTAGCACTTTGTATCCAGGCGATATCAGATCTATCCCCATATAAAATACCTCTCCTTTGAATTATATTTTTCTTAACTCTTTAAATCTATCTAGATCACCCAAAATATGAATTACATAGATCCCCAGATTAAACTGTCAAAGATCGGTTCGAAATTCGATTTCTGATTCAGCTTCCTACTCAAAGTCGTAGGGAGTGGTTACTGAGAGGGAAGGAAGGGAGAACTTAAACAACGCTTATGTCGGCTTTATATATGCGGAGGTCTTCGAATTTACACATAAGTTTTATTATTCGCTTTATATAAGGTATATGTTTCGGGTCCCACCCTTGCATTTGGTCTATGCTTGGTAGAAATAATAGGTAGTGCAGAGTTATAGAGTTATATATAGAAAATTTCGACCATTTGTGTGGGTGGTACCAGAAGAAGTGGACCAGTGGGTCCCATTTTTGGACTTTACCAAGGCTTGGTAAAGATGATAGGTTGTGCAAAGTTTGGTCAAATCTGACATTCTATTCGCCTAATATTGGATTTAAACATATTAATAATTTTAACCAATTGTGGGGATGGTACCAGAATGAGTGGACCCATGGGTCCCATCTTCGGACGTGATCTAGGCTTGTTACGGATAGGATAATAATAAGTTGGGCAAAGTTTGGTTTAACACTAGAAAGCCGAAGGCAGTCATTTTGACCGCTTTCCAATTTCAAGTACAAAAGCAACTGTGCATTTAATGACACTTTTTTTTTAATTTTGATGATTTTTTTATAATAAGCGTAATTCTATGAGGTACAAAAAATTAAATGCACAGTTGCTTTTGTACTTGAAATTGGAAAGCGGTCAAAATGACTGCCTTCGGCGTTCTAGTGTTAAATCGGACATTCCGTTCGCCTGATATTGGATTCATAAATATTGACAAATTTGACCATTTGTGCGGGAGGTACTAGAAGGAGTAGACCAAAAGGTCCCATTTTTGGACTTGATCAAGGCTTGGTAAAGATAAGAGGACCATACTTTGTACAATATAGTTCAAATCGCATAGTCCGCTCATATGATATTATAAGATTAATTGCTTGCACAAGTTTGACCATTTTCTGGGTGAGGTACCAGAAGGAGTGGACCGATATTCCCCATCTTCGAACTAGAACTAAGATTGGTTGAAATATTACGATGTGCTAAGTTTGGATGAAATCGGTTACTCCCTTCGAGAATTATCGTGCGCACCAGCCGGCCAGACAGGCAGAAGGACGACTTTCGATTAATCGACTTTTTGTATTAAAAAGTCTTATAGTCGAAGTCGACTTTTGATCTTTGAGGAAATCGCAAAGTCGACTTTTCACGATCGATTTTCTTCATAATTACTTTGTTTTTTATCATGAAGCCCAAATTGCCCACGGTTACACATTTCACTTTTTTATTAACAAAATTTCAAATAAATTCTCTTCAAAGCGATGATGCTTCAAACCACTGTTCGATATCGGCCCACAAACATAATGTGTAAATGATGTACGTTCCGATCGATGTCTTCTGATAAAACCAACAAACAAAAAATTACATCGAAAAAATGCCATGCCATGAATTCGTACATTTCGATTGAATGATTTGTTTTGATGATGGAGAGCTTAGATGGTTCGTTGGTTGCGCTTAGATTGCCATTTCGACGCTTGGCAATAATGGTCTGTCCAATCGAAGACAGACAACAAGCAGCCGGTAGCTGCAAAAGAAGGTGGCGGCAATGTTGCTAAGCATAAGTGGTGATAGTGAGTGACTGGCCTGTGTCTCATCATCACCAGCGCCATAGTCATGTTTATTTTGATGATTTCTGTCTTCGACTGTTTGAAAGACCCCAGACTAAAAATTAGAAAAAAAACTACTGCTTCGTGATTATGGCAGCAATGATGTTTGAAAATTATTTTACAAATAAAACTTTCTCTGATTTCGTTTTTTTTTTTGCACATATAACGCTGCACGCTTTGCCACATAACCGCACTGCCACCAACTTCTTTCCATTGGCCATAACCACAAATAAAAACACACTTTGATGGAAAAGCAGCATTAGACCTAAAAGTAAATGAAACATGCGCACAGTGATGTGAAGGCAATGGAGATCACTCAGACTGATGATCATAATGGTGCTCTCAACGACAAATGACTTCCTCCAAATAATAATAAAAAAACATAATGGTGATGAAGCTGAGATCACCGCATTATGCGGATCTATGTATGTACGTCAGTGACGTCCTCTTCATCATAATAGGCAGATATAACAACGACAGACAACCAACCCAAGCTGCCAAGCAAATAAATGTTGGTTACTCTTGAAAATCATCAACAGCGTCTTGCGAAGTTCGTTGACTAGCTGAATGGGGGAATGGCAGTAAGTGGTGGGGATGTATTTATGAATTGCGAATTGTGCCGCCGCCGTCTGACAAGATGAGATAATTTTTGGAGTCTGCACAAATTTATGCATCGAAATGCTATTTACTTTTTTTTTTTGATTATTATTGTTGTTGTTGCACTTTTTATGTGGCTTTTCATTAGTTTTTCCTCATTACTTTGTAAAGTGTGTTTTTTATGAATTACAACAACCTGATTTTTGATGTCGTAATTTCCTGTATCTGATCGTTTTATTTTTATTTTTTCAGTGTGCCCATATTTAAAAATCTTCAGGAAGATACTCTCATCAAGATTTCCGATGTATTGGAAGAAACTCATTATCAACAGGGTGATTATATAGTACGCCAAGGGGCAAGAGGTGACACCTTCTTCATTATATCCAAAGGCCAGGTACGAGTCACAATCAAACAACCCGGCACTCAGGAAGAGAAATTCATACGAATTCTCAGCAAAGGTGATTTCTTTGGCGAAAAGGCCTTGCAAGGGTAAGTTTTCTATTTTTTCTTATTTTTATTAAAATCATTTGTCTTCAATATTATTTATTATAATTGTATTCTAATTTGTTTTTTTTTTCATTTAGGGATGATTTACGTACAGCCAACATCATTTGTGATTCACCTGAGGGTGTAACCTGTTTGGTCATCGATCGTGAAACATTCAATCAGCTGATATCGAATTTAGATGAAATCAAACATCGTTACGACGATGAAGGTACCCTTGAGAGAAGAAAGTAAGTCAACTCGCCCAGCCTCACCTGACATTTTTAACAAAACAATTAATTTATTCAATTTCTCCCTTCCAGGATCAATGAAGAATTCCGCGATGTCAATCTTACCGATCTCCGTGTCATTGCCACACTTGGTGTTGGCGGTTTTGGTCGCGTTGAATTGGTACAAATCCATGGCGATGGTAGCCGTTCATTTGCCCTGAAACAAATGAAAAAGGCACAAATTGTCGAAACCCGTCAGCAGCAACACATCATGTCCGAAAAGGAGATAATGGGCGAAGCCAATTGTCAATTTATTGTTAAGCTCTTTAAAACATTTAAGGATAAGAAATACTTGTACATGTTAATGGAATCGTGCCTTGGCGGTGAACTATGGACCATATTACGTGATAAGGGAAATTTCGATGATTCCACAACTAGATTTTATACGGCATGTGTTGTTGAGGCTTTCGATTATTTGCATTCGCGCAACATTATCTATCGTGACTTGAAACCGGAAAATCTCCTGCTGGACGAGAAAGGTTATGTGAAGTTGGTTGATTTCGGTTTTGCCAAGAAACTGCAATCGGGACGCAAAACATGGACCTTCTGTGGCACTCCGGAATATGTTGCACCGGAAGTTATATTGAATCGTGGTCATGACATTAGTGCTGATTACTGGTCATTGGGTGTATTGATGTTTGAATTGTTGACAGGTATGTTCGAACGAATCTTAATGATTTTGGATATATTCTTATTGTTGGTGTTTTCATTTTTTTATTTTCAGGTACTCCACCATTTACCGGTTCGGATCCCATGCGTACCTACAACATCATTCTAAAAGGCATTGATGCCATTGAATTCCCCCGCAATATTACAAGCAATGCCCGCAATCTTATTAAGAAGCTGTGTCGTGACAATCCTGCTGAACGTTTGGGCTATCAACGTGGCGGTATTAGCGAAATTCAAAAGCATAAGTAAGTATTGTATGAGTTTTCCACATGGCTCATGTATATTTATATATAATCTTAGACTTTCTAACTATGTAATTAGCCATAAGGCTGAGAGTATTATAAGAAGTAAAAAAATGTCAGTCGGTGGTGCCGACAGTTATATACCCTCAAGCTATGGATTCCGAAGGTCTACGGCATTATTTGTTGTATAAAGGTATTATTCGTCCTATAATTGTATATGTTTTTATGACCATAATTGACTATCTTTGGTAGGGGTTGCCCTATAGCCCCATCTTCAGATTTGAAGTAGGTTTTGGTAAAATATTACGATGTGAAAACAATGAATTTAATCGGTCATTCAATTACCTTCAAATTAAATGTAAGGGTTTGTAAGGTTTTGACCCTTTGTGAGGGAAGTACCAGAAGAAAAGGATGACGGGTCCCACCTTCGAACAAGATATATGTAAGGTAAACATATCACGATGTGCAAGGTTCGATGAAAATGAATATTCCGTTCGCTTCATAGTGGACTGATTAGTCCCATCCTACACATTATACAGTTTGAGTTAAAATATTAGGTTGCGCAAAGTTTGGTTCAAATCCGGACTATCCGATATTACAAAATTAATTTTAACAAAACGTTGGCCATTTTGTGCGGGAGGTCTTCTGTCTGTGTGATTGGCTGGTTCCAATATATGACCCATCAAGTTTAAAGACGGGGAAAGTCATGGCAAAAATAAATGAGGTGTGTAACTGCCATCTATTGATTGATAGGATTCAAATCATGTACATCTGTTTTTGAAGCCCTTTCAAAACGCATAACTTTGGAACAGATTATCGAATTTCAACGAAAGGGTAAATAGTCTACTTTACTACGACTAGAATATTAATTTTTAAAACACACATATAACCGATTTAAATTAAAGAAGCATTCAATACCATATTTCATATTAAAGAAATAACATAATTAATTTTGTATTGTATTTCGCTAGAAGTATAAAATTATACCATTCAGATGAAACCAGTTTTATTTAAATATAAAAAGTTATAAGAAAAAAAAATGAGGTACACATTTTTCATAATCGATCTTTAGATCTACCCACTCAATAAATGGCGCTGACGGCAATTATACTTTTTATATAACGAATAATAAAACCTGTGTATAATTCCTAAGACCACCGCAAGCCATAGGCTGAGGGTATATATCTGTCGGTATTTACGACTTAATATTAGAATTGACATCGTCTATGACTAAGTTGACGTAAGTAGACAGTACTGCAGTTGGGATCTTACTATCGTATCGGTATTTTTATTGTTCGTCGATAGATACTATTATATTTTCCTTTTGTTTTTTATATTACTACTTTTCACTATGGCTCATCTATTCTCATCTTCTTATATTTTCCAGATGGTTTGATGGTTTCTATTGGTGGGGCTTACAAAATCGTACTCTAGAGCCACCAATCAAGCCCACAGTTAAAAGTGTAACGGATACAACTAATTTCGATAACTATCCTCCTGATCCAGAGGGACCACCACCAGATGATGTCACCGGATGGGATAAAGATTTTTGAACCGAACAATTTGTTGAAAAGTGAAGTGAGGAATGCGCAAATTAATTCAAAAAATAATCAACAAAAACGGATTTATTTTTCTAAAGCCATATTTAATTAGGACATAAAAAATATATAAATATGTTTTGCAATTTTGTTAAAAACAAATCCTCCTATATAGAAAAAAGAAACGTTTTTTTAAATTATAGTCTTCCAAGTACTTTTTGTTTGTTCTCTCCCCAAACAAAAGGAAGAACGGTTGCAATAAAAATTAATCAATTAGCGATATATGAAACAAACTATTCTAACCTTAAAATGCATATTTTTTGTTTATACTAATTTATGTGTAATTTTTATTGTCGTTACCATTTGAAAGAACAAAAATAATTGCATACATAAAATAAAAAATGATGAGAAAAAGGAGTTCAGAATCTATACCATGATTTCGATTCCCACACTTTATTTGGTAAGGTTTACTAAACAACAAAACAGCTAATCTAATGAGTTAAATATTTAAATTGATAGAGTGTAAGTCTTAATTTTTTAATTTGTTAATTTTTTTAAATAAGCCCAATTTCTATTAGACCTATTCAAAATTTATATAACAAAAAATCTCACCAAATCCACCGTCTCAATGTCCACCATTAACAATCCCAACCATCCATGTAAATATGCATTAAAAGGTTATACAAAAACATGGCTTTTTTCAATTAGAATATATAAACAAATGAAAATAAAATAATAAAAATATATATTTTTTGATTATTTTTAAATTAAATAAAATATATATGTCAACTATTGTGTATCTATCTGATTGTAATTAGAGTGTAATAATGCGTGTAAGAAGAAATTATTTTTACAGATTGTATTTAGTTGTAAAAATAAAAATTATAAAAACCATAATAATAATAAAATAAAAACAACGAATTCTTAAAATGACGTTTAAAACTGCAATAGAATAGTGTCACAGATAAGAAATCAATGTGCATAATGGGTGGGTGCAGCAAACATTGCAATTAAAATGAAAATTGTCCACACCCTCGGACTCCTTACTCACCCCACATGGCGTGACTTTCCTTCGAAACCAACAAAATAACATCTTTAAAGTTAGCTTTGTTTTTTTTTTTTTTTTTTTTTTTTGCGGCAAGTATTGTTTTATATTCATTCATTGAACAATATATATTCTTTGCAAAAGACATAACAAACAATACCATGTAACTATCAACTTTCGGCAGATATGAAAGTTAAAGAATAGAACAAAAAGACACGTATTGCTATTTTAGCATTTTTAAAGAAGTTCATATCATCGACATGCCAATATTATTTCATCGTATGTTGATCGATCGTGAACACCGTTAACGTTAACTTACCTAGCTGTCATCGTAAACCTCTTAGTGTACAAAGTGTTGAATTTGCATATTTTTTCTTTCTTTTGTTTTTAAATGTGCGGTGTGCGATTTTTATATTCAAGAGCTATGCATTTGAAAACAACTTTAGTTTTATTGGCATTGATTCAAATGTCATTGTGTCCAGTGTTCTTGGTGTGGACAAGCCAACTTGTGGATAGTATTAATAACCAGCAACAGAGGAAAAATATAACGGGTAATTTACAATTACAAATATTTGATATGTTGCATAGTGAAAATCTTAATGACAAATATTCGATGAAGTTATTCAACAATAAAATGATTAATATTTTATGAATGAAGTCAAATGATAAAGTTTTAACTCTATTTCGATATAGTATTAACTGTATTCAATTTATTTGTTGTATGTGCTTTATTATACATTGTCCGTCCCTTATCATTATAAAACATAAAAATATATATACTCACCCTTATTGCGGTAGGCGTAGTCGTTGTGCGGCAGTTCTCGTAGGCGTAGTTGTTGTTGTAGCAGGCGTAGTGGAATGCGTTGTCGTTTTTAGTCGGTATTAAGTAAAATTTACGACAACGCCAAATTTTGTAATAGATTTTTCTTTTACTCTTTTACAAAACCAAAGCAAAAATTGTACTTTTTGAACCCTTTTTTATTGTATTGGAAAAACTATTATTCAAGGGTAAAAAATACATAAAATTTATTTTGAGAATTTTAATTCATTTTATTCCATTTTAAAGATTTCAGCTTATTTTCAAATTACTTAGAAAACAAAAAAAAAAACAAAATGACGTAATTTTTTTAAATACAATATAATTTTTCTAATAATACATTTGTTTGTACTTGTGAATGTTTCTCGCTTATGTACTAGTCTTATGTGGTTAAAAAACGAACGCATGTAAACCCCATGTTTCTTTTTACCAAATTCACTTCTGAAATTGATTTGATTTGTATTTATTGAGACTTCATTCATTTCATTAAGGACATGGTATTAACAATAAATAACAGGGACACTTAAAACTATCATGTATTATTCTAATATCATTACATAAAATGGGGATGCTACATGCTTAAACATTCTTTAGATATTTAATTGTAATTAAAAAATAATTTTAAAATGAGATAAATAGTGTTTGCTCCCGACACTTGCTGTAGCGAATAGAGTTTTATCTATATTTTGATGTGTACTTATAACTAGGACTTACAACTACAAAAAAACCGAAACAAAACAATTAAACTAAAATTATATATACTTAAACTACATAAAAAAACTACCCCCTATGTGTTCCAGGTGTAGAATAAGAATAAAAGTTTTGGTCAGATGAATTTGACCCTCCTTGAATTATTCCTAAGGCGGAAAGATAATTCGTATTCGTCGAATTAAATTCACGTTCGCTGTTTAAAATTTCCTGAAAAATAGACCCATTGAAATCGACAAGTCTTTCTACGAATCGCATATGCTGAAAGTCGTGTAATTTTGCTCTCATTATAAATGAATTCATTTGAATATCGAATAATGTTCCGCTCAAAAACTTCTAATTTCTTCATCGTGGTTGGAGAAATGTTGAACCAAATAGTAAAGGCATACAGAAGGACAGGACGTATGCTAATTTTGTAGAGGAATAATTTAGTTCTAACTGATGTTAAATACATTTGAAAATGCACCTTTAATGCGATTCGCTCTTTCCAAATTATAATCAGCATGTCTGTTGAATTTTAGAAGGTGGTTGAAATTAACTCCTAATTATTTAAGGTTTTCAGTGAACTCAATTTCATCACTATCCAAATGCAGCTCTAACTGTTTACTTTCCGGCACTACAGTATATTTGCATTTTCCGGAAGCATTTCTAATGCAAATTGCTTTACTCTTTGATTAATTTTAATGCCCCATTGTAAAAATATTTCATTCGGTTAAGATGCGATGAAACATGTTGAAGAGCAACTGACGGGGACTCATCGTGAGCGTAGAGAAGAGAGTCGTCGGCATAAAGTATACCCTTGGATCCATCAAATACATGGGGAAAGTCATATATGGATATATTATATAAATGAGGTGCTTTGCGGCACCCGCAGGTTATATCACATAAGGATACCGGACGTTTTCAATTTGAACATAGAATTTTCTTTCGTCATTTTAAAAAGCTTCACTGTCGTTATTCCCAAAATCATTTTGAATAAAATGCCATTGTGATAGGCTTTGTCAAAGGCTTTTTCGACGTCAAGTGACACCGCCAGAGTGCATCGTTTTTCCCTAAGATTCTGGATAATGTCGTTGTGGAATTTCAGAAGAGCATGAGCTGTTGAATTTCCCTTCTTAAACCCAAATTGATATTGAGAAATATAAGGACCACTCAACTCAGCATCCATTTTTTCCTTAATAATTTGAAAGAAGTGAAATCGGTCTTAAGTTATTAATATCACTGTCTCCAGTTTTTTTTCTTATAGAAACAAGTTTTGATATCTTCCAAGATGAGACTTATCAGTTAACTCCCCACAAAAAGTCAACATTTTGAAAACTTGTAAATTTCATATGAAGCGAACGGAATATCCAATTTCATCGAACCTTTGCATATCGTAATATGTTTACCTTATATTTTAGTGGTTCTGGTTTTACATTTCCAGTCGCATATTCAAATTTAAAAATTGTCCGCCGCGTTACGCTTTCAAGTTTGTTCATTAGAAAAAGTTTGCATTTAATTGGCGCCGTTTTCAAATATTATTTAATTCTTCTTCTCCCTAAAGTATGCTCTGAACTTTTAATGAATTTACCATTTAGCATTGCAATATCATCTGAGACCAGTGTTGTCAATTTAGCACTTGTAGTTCTAGATTTTAACTCGTTTAGCACCTGAAAAAGTAATCTAGCACCTAGAACTTTTTTTTGGCATTTTGTATTTCTTTCTGGATTTTATTCCTTAATTTTTAGTATCATACGACAAAAATTGTCGTCTTTTTGATTTCACATTGACACGTTGAATTTGAGTACATATAATACCCTTCGCAACTACCACTGGACTTCAATTTTCTGCGAGGTATCCAACTCCTGATGTGATGATAATACAATAAAACAATATATGAATATAAATTTAATGGTCAATTATACTCCCCGCATTAAAACTGTTATGTTATGTTTATACAATTTTCCTTATTTGAATTTGAATATAAAAATGATTTTTTAAGAAATATAGATCTCATTATTACCTATAAACAGATTTCTTTCTAAAACTTTTAGCAATAATTGTATGTCCACATTTATTTGTTATTAAAAACAAAATTTTCGACATTAGATTATTTTATTCTTTACACATTGTTTCACAATTTTCTTTGGTATCGAATCGATTGGTATTGCCCCCACAACCACCATATATAAAACTGATACATTCGTTAGTATCTGCTCTGTAAGACCACGAAGGAAACAAGGCATCACAGGTTATGCCTCCTTCATCTCCATCTTTGGCAAATTGTAAACCGCATATACCTAAAAATTATTATTTATAGAAATGAGAATGCAAATCTAATTTGAATGCAACGCACCATTTTTAAGGCCAAGTGTTGAAGATATAAATCCCAACATCACAAATGACAAAATAACAAATAATTTCATTTTCAGTGTGATTTCATTCACAACTTTAAACAAACTGAATTGGAATAGAGAGAAGGTGTCGAATTTTATAAGTGAACACTGCAGTGTTCTTTTTAATTTTCAATTGATAAGCTCAAATGATAACCTATGATTTTTAAAGAACTGAAGACGACACACCTGCACTAATAGACAAAATCTACAAATAAGTGTGTGGACTGATGTTTAATGTGCCGGATTACCGAATAATTTGGATTAACGAGGTCCGGATAATCTAGATTTTATTGTATCAAGAAATCTGGAAAATTTTTTACGCCCTGCTTTCCTATCGATTTTTTTAAATTTTTCTACCCTCTGCGACATATTAGTACGTCCCAATTTTTTGGTATTGTTAGGTCTTAGCCGTGATTATTTTCACATAACCTCCTTATAAATTATAGGTATTTTCATGGCACATTTCCTCCCTTTTGGGCCATAGTTTCGCATTTTGAGAAAGTCGGTAGAAATCTATATATTTATATTTTTTTGGAATAGCTCCCTTTGTTCGGGATTTTTAGGGTTCAGGAATTTGTCCAAAATGTTCATTAGAAGGTTGTAGTGGATTTTATATATCACGAAATGTCAGCGCTTGTTCTACTATCGTTCATAGTAGATTCCAAAAAACTTTGTTCCACAGTAGTGTTCATAACAAGCGTTTGAAAAATAAACAAACATTTTTTTCCTACTTACTGTGCAACATTATCAATCTATACCAATACACACATTACACCTTTCAATATTATTCACGCAACTATTGTTTTCTTTTTCTTTATTCTCAGCTTGTTTGGAACCGAAGACACCTGGCTTATGTCGCGGCAAATTTTTGCGTTACGCATACGACCGTAAATCTGGCAAGTGTATCAGCTTCTATTATTCCGGTTGCGGTGCCACACAAAATAATTTTCTCACCTATGAGGAGTGTCGACGTGATTGTATGCAACAATTACGATATTGAATATCAATGAAATACCAAATCAAAAAAATATATTATAACATTTATTTATTTCAATAAAATATATGAATAATATTAAAAAGGCAATTTATTGTAAATTTTAAAATTAACGTTCTACAAATGTTTAGGATGTATGAAGTTGATGCTATTTTTTCTGCTATTGAAATTAAATCAGTGTTATAATTGAGCGCTTTTAAATAGGAGACTGGCAGTTATGAAAAATGTGAAAGTGAAAAAAATGTTCACAAGCGAGATATCTCCCTAGCGAATATCCAGAATACAGCTGATAAACCGATTACGTTCCTTTCCCTATTTGAAATAATTTCAGGATTAGTTTTTTAAAGTATAGATTTGTATATACGGTGAGTTGTTTAGTACCACCTTAAACTATATACATATATATTATTGAACTATATTGGTTTTAAGCAGTGGCTCTCTTATCCATTTGTTTATACATATAAATAAACAGATGTACTGACGATTTTTAGCGATTACTTGTCATGTCAGTGAATAGATAATCAAAGAGACAAATGTTAGTTTAAATATTAGCACGCTCGTAATTATTGTGTTGCATACAATGTATGAATGTGATTCCGGGGAACTTTTGTTTTTCAAACAACAATTATATGATAATTAATATCTCTGAGATTTAAATGAGAAAAAAAATTCAATAGATAAATTGGTACAACATCACATTCAGACATTCACAATCAAATCTATATTTTGAAAATTTTGGTCAAATAATATTATTGTTGTGCTTAATGGCAATTTTTTTACAGAAACAAAATGCAAAAATCTCTGAAAATTACAGCTAAATTTTCAGAGATTTTGACATTAATTTATTTTTACTATAATGTAAGAAAACCCCCCTTATAATGACCATCCCAGAGGTAAACTGTTAAAAACAGTGTTGCCTAAGAGATAATAGCTAAAAATTATCTTTATAGGTGTAATAAATATATAATGTCATTGTGTAATAAAACTGCAGAATTCCCTCTAACCATTGCTGCAAAATTCATAAAAACCGGTTAAGTACTTCCGGAGTTATTCGAATTTCAATTCTGCCATGCTCCGAAATATACTTTCGGTTCGGTGCTGGGCGCCTATTACCAAAAAATGAAGAACACCACAAAAATCGATCTAGCAAAAATGGAAATTTTTTCTTCATACAGCTACAGTGTGTGTATGTGTAAGTAAATACACCCTGTAGGGAAATGAACCAATTTAAAACTAACTTTAAACTAATTTTAAAATAGTCACTTCTAGACCATTTATCGATTATTTTTCTTTGGGCCAACTGACTATGTTTACATGGCGATGATCGCGGTAGTAGTCAGTAACTTTTCAACTGGTTACAAACTAGTTATTTTTGACGCATTTATAGTTAGATTAAAAAATGCAGATAGTCATCGGTCTAAAAGAGATTAATTTGTATATAGAATTTTCGAAATGACTATTAGTTGGTATATGTTAAGATAACTATTTACTATTTATTTTATTATACATTTATTTTATTATACATTTATTTTATTATACACAGTTGAAAAATTATATACATAGGTGGAACATAACATATGTTAAAAAAATAAAAAAAAATAATTAATCACAGAAAATTAATATAAATGACTGACTTATAGTTTTTTTTTTTATGCATATGTCATGGAATTGACGTTTTTTTTAATAATATGCAATGCTTTTCGGAGCTCTTTCTCTGGATCCACTGGAAGTGATCGCAGGGCGTCCATAAGACACTCGAAAACATTTTGGAAATCTTTTAGACGTTTTTTTCCATGGGTTCCATCCACGTTAAAATAAATTATTATTTCTATTGCAAATATTTCCATCAGCGTCTTTTCTAATTTGACTTTAATTAATCTCTTCATTGAATTTACCTGTGAATACATTACAAATTTATTGAATTAAAAATTAATAAAAATAACAACGTTTAAAAAGGGGAAAATTAATACTTACGTATGTAGTCGATTGTCTTCATCTATAAAGTTATTGAGGGCAGATAAATCTTCAACCGTTTTGACGGGGAAATATTTCCTTCGCATCTTGCCTAATTAACTTTTCGGTCACGACATTTCAATTATATTATTAAAACACTTACCAATTTATTTTTAATTTCACACTTAAAGAGCACAATTACAATTAGTTACGATTTACACTTCTTCACTCTCCGAAGTTTCAAACAGAATGATTTTTCTTCATCTTTGCATTCGTTGTTGTTGTGTGGAATGCAATTCTAACGGTTTCTTGTTTTGCGTTTGTTATGTTTTTGATGACATGAACATATTTTTGATTTCAATGTGGTTGAGTCTTAGATGACTTTCTAGCTAATTTATAATCAGTTGATTAATAATTTCTTTATAACTAAACATTTTGTAAACTAGTTGATGAAAGTCCTACAGGGTATTTTACATTGCATATGCCCATAAATCACATACAGTCACACCTACAGTGACGAGCAGAAATGAGTACATGTTTGTACATTGGACACTTTTTACGTCATAAAAATATAAATATAAAAGCAAATTCAAAAATGTTGGTTGTATTTTATAACGTATTTCGTACCTAACAAATCAACCTAAAGTTAAAGTATTTAACTCTTAAATTTTTAAGAAAAAAACAGAGAAAAGTAAATCAACTCCAATGTACTCACTTTTGAACAAATTTGAAAAATTCGTTGGGATTGATGTCGAAACTTTATGCTGACCACAGTGTTAATTCAAAATTTTGCTCACGAAGATATTCTCTCACGAATTTTGACGTATATCTTTGATCACCGTCCTACACATAATAACTTCTTCTACAGAATAGGCGTTCTTAGCTACCTAAACTGACTGATGTGACTCTACAATGATCAAAATGGACTTGTTTCATTATTATTTTGTCAATTTTTTAACATCGGTTCAGGACCCACAAGTTAAAGCCTACGCATACCATGGCAATTCCTCAACCGTGATTCACATTGGACCTTTGAATTAGTTTTCATCACCAAAAATACTTATCGTCGGATTGAAAACGGTTGAATTTGGATTCGTCGGACCCGATCACACGTTTCCAATCGACCAGAATTCATCTTTTGGGTTAGTTGAAAATTCTTTACCCTTATTTTGCAGTTTTTTCCTATAATACTGGTTTTTAGTCTTTTTTTAATGCTGCTATATCCAATGTCGGGAAGGACTCTTCACGCCGTTCAATGACTAACAGGTTTGACGAGTACTTACGAAGCATATTTTGGTGTTAAAACTTATCAAATTACATTTCCCTTATCATTAGACGTGGGTCCACACATCTTATAAGCGGTGTACGACCTCTAATTTGAGGTTTGGGAACAACGGAACACCGTTTCTGTACACATATGACCAATAATTGACACAATTTAAGTCCCTTTGCAATTTCCAGGGTAGAACAGATTTTTCAGCTTTTTCCGAATAGCATCTTCAGTGGTTATTATATATATTTCTTCTTGATTTATTATTATTAATTATTTATTTGATTTTTGTTCAAAACTTTGTACAATTTTTTCGTAAACGGGATTTAAATGATGTAAAACTTATATATTTTCTTAAAAAAAACTAATGAGAACCAAAAAAAAAGATTTGAAAAACGTGATTTTACATTCCTTTTCTGCACATTATTAAACAAATGCAAACGTGCAAAAGTGAGTACATTGGGGTTGATTTCGTTTTCTTTATTTTTTCTTAGCTATTTTTAAGAGTTCGATTTTTAAATTTAGGTTGTTTTGTTAAGTACAAAATACCCAATAAAATGCAACCAACATTTTTGAATTAGCTTTTTTAGTTTTATTTTTATGGCGTAAAAAGTGTCCAAAATGCAAACATGTATTCGTTTCTGTTCGCCACTGTACATATCAAGCAACAAGAAATTGCACCTCGAACTGCCATTTGCCCCTACAAATATGCTATGATTTTCATACAACAGCAGACATTATGAAAACAATTTTTGCCTTTTTTAAAAGACCGATTTTTGTGAGGTTTTTCATTTTCAGGTAATAGGCGACCAGAATCGAGCAGGAGGTGTATTAATTTAATTTTACTATAAAGCAAAAAAAACCCTTATGATGACCATCCCAGAGGGTTATCATATTGCAAGATTAATAAAATATATATTTTTAGCGTAATATGCGCTCAATAGATCATAGTTTGTTTTAATGCAATTAAATGTTCATCCTCTGTGGATCTTTGAATTAAAAGTATTTATGTAACCTCTCAATTTCATCCATTTTCACCATACATTCATTTTACAGGTTATGTTACTAAAAGTGTGGTTTCTCAACATTTGGGTCATAAACAAAATCCTTGTAACTTCTCTTATTTTAATGTGACTATCGATTTAATAAGTATTTTTTGTAAAAAAAAACAAGTTTTGCACACAACACAACTTTTATTTTTTGCTAGAGGGTACTCTTGCTGCAACACTTTAATGAAAATAGCAATGCAAATAAATGGGCGTGTTAGTGCCACTTAAGTACTCCTCACACTCAAGTGGATACCCAAGGGTAACACCAAAATGTTCACTGGATTTTTTTGCACAAAATCATTTATGTCACTACTTCATCAGGCATTTAAGTATTATTTTCGTTGAGTAGTAGTGGCACACTTGATGTCGGCTTGGGATGTACACAACTTCCGATTGGTATCTTCTTCCAAAACAAACAAACAAAGCTCTTTACTTAATAGTCAGGTAAACACAAAAAAATAGTTGTTAATTAATTAACATTGCAAAAAAAACCCGATATAGGCCCTTTTTAACAACTACTTGCCTCTTGAGCTTGAGTTGTGAGTATAAATGGTACTCCCCCATCGACTCATCGATATCATTCTAATTTGTACCTTCATTCGTAACAGACGTTAACAACACAACAACAATTTTCAATATGAAAATTATTTTGGTCGTTCTCAGCATCATTGTTGTGATCTTCGCTTCAGCTACAGCTTTTGACAAAGCAGGTTTGTAAAACAAAACAAAAACACTAGTTTAT